CCTCATCCTGTTCAGGTGGTCTGTAATAGACACCCACCACAGTGTCACCTACACTAGCTTGCCCCTTAATTCTTACCCACTAACAATCAACTTGCTCCTCATCTGCCCCTGGATAGACCTCAGTACATTCTAGTTGCTCTCTCACATAAAGAGCAACTCCACCACCTCGTCTTGTTGGCCTGTCTTTCCTAAAAAGGACAGAGCCATCAAGGCCCACATTCCAGTCACGTGAGTTGTCCCTCCACGTCTCTGTAATCGCAATGAGATCATAGCTCCCCAGCCGCACACAGAGTTCCAGTTCCCCCTGCTCATTCCCCATGCTTCTTGCATTGGTATACAGACACTTAAGAGACTTAATTGAGTAGCATCTGTTACCGTTGCTTGTGCCATCCATGTTGGAATGGGTGCACTTAAGTTGGGAAAATTCGTCCCCCACAAGCACTGGCATATTACATTCTTTTTCCTTTTTAGTGACCCTGGTTTCACCCCCACCAATAATCCTAAATCAACATCAAGGTGGCTATGCCTGCATCTTCTCCCCAAGCCTCCCAGTTTAAAACAAGCCGAGCTTTTGAAAATAAAAACTGCAATATCTAAATACTTAAATACATGTCCATATAGACACACTTAGAAGAATTCACAGTAAGATAGAAATTAAGTCACCTTATAAGTGATTCTTCCAAGCCCTTCCTTCTCACTGAACAACAGACTATTTAACATCACTTCATAATACTCTTTTAGCTGCCACAGATTTTGCATGTTGCCCTCTGCTCCCTGGGAAATTATTTCCACTACCTGAGTGCCAGGCTGGCTGCTCCAGGAGCTGCAGCTCCCTGCCGTACACATCCAGGCCCCAGGCTTTTCCTTCACTCTTTTATTTTTTTAATTAACCCAGGAGAGCCATTCCCCTTGTCACATAAATTAATTACCTCAGCAGTCCTTGGTATCTGACTTTGTCAAGGCTTTTCAGAAATCTCAATTTGTAAAAACAGGATCATCTTTCTCCATGTGCTTGTGCCATAGCATCTTCAAAGAACTCCCGAAAGTTTGTGAGGTGTCATTTCTCTTCCAAAAAGACCTAGCAGCTCCCATCACACAGCATTTAACCACGTTGCCTTCCTGCAGGTAGCTGCCACCACCATGAGGACTTACTTGATGGAGACCCATGGGGGTTGCTGAAAGGCCAGCCTTGTCTTGGTAAGCTCTAGTTTACCAAGATGTTTTGCTTCAGAAGGAGACCTCTGTAAAATGAGGAAATTAGTGAAAAAGGAAAAAAAAAAAAGAACAACACCAAAAAGTAGCAAGCCACTAAGGTGATTACGGGACTGGAGCATCTGTCATAGCAGCATAGGCTGACAGAGTGGGAAATACTTGGTCTGGAGAAGAGTCAAGGGAATGTTATCAATGCCTATAAATACTTGAAAGGGGCAGAGGAACTGGGAAGATGGAGCCACAGTCTCTTCAGTTGCATCCAGTGACAGGACAAGAGGTAACACGCACAAACTGAAATACAGGAAAGTCTATTTCAACAGAAGAAAACACTTTACTGCGAGGGTGGTCTAATGCTGGAACAAGTGGCCTATCCTGGAGATACTGAGAAGTCAAGAGGACACAGCTCAGAGCAACCAGCAGGACAAAGCCAAGTGTTTTAGAAGCAATTTGTTTAAAGTATAAAATTAGTAATACTTTCCTTTTAGGTGCAAGAAACCAGCAAGTGCATGAGACTTCTAGAGAGATAAGAACAGGGAAACAATGCATAGAAAAAAGCAGAAATTATAATTATTTATTATATTATAATTAGTTATTATTAGTGTGCTCATGATGAAAGTGTTCAAACAATGTTTCTACACTAGAACCTTTCTCACAGGTTTACTTCTTTACAGAGGATAACTCTGAGAAAACATCTTGACTTCAAGTGTCAGTAGAAGAGGTCTTGAGACAAAGCAAAAATTGAGTAGAAAGCACTAGCAGGACCAGATGACGTTCTCCTGGCAGTTCTAAAGGAAAATTACCTTCCTCATGAACTGTGCAACGTATCTGCTGGGGTGGACTCAGTACCGGAGAAACAGAAAGCAGCAAACTTAATATTAAATTTTCTGAGAGTTTCAGGATGGACTGAGAAGACTTTAATTTTGGTTTATGAAGGACAGTGTTTTAGTAATTACAATGTTTTCTTATCAGTATCACAATAGGCTAAAATGATTCTAAAGACATCTATAGAAAAATAGCTCTTATAACGGAAGATGCGACTTGCCTAAAGAATTTTTAAAACTTTGTTTTTGCATATGCATTTGTATCTCGTTGACTTCAAGGGTGTAATTTTAAAAGTCCTGATATTTCTTTATAATCCATATTTGCTCTATAAAACATTAAAGACAAGCTTTAAAACACAGAGAAAAATCACAGGAGGAGTTCATATCCTACTTGAACAGTATCAGAACCTAGCAAAGCAATACGAAATACCCACCTCCTCTGGATTTGATTTTTGCTGTAGAATTCTATGAAATTCTTAATTAATGTGAGAATCTGAAAAGAAATCTGATCCAGTTGCTGCATATTCTTACATTTGTCTTTTTCTTCCTTTACCTAGGGATGTATCCAGAACAGCCATTGCTAACCTTCCAGCCAAAGGACTGGAAAGTCTTAAAGAACTAATGGCCAAAAATACATGGACTTTAAAGAAATTACCAGCTGTAAAGATATTTCTTCAGCTAATGCGAGCTGACCTATCATATCCAAGTCACTGCTGTGCTTTTAAGAACTGGAAAAAAACCAGTGGGTGAGCTTCACTAACTTACATTCAATTTTAAGAGTATGTAAGTGAAGACAATGTTTTAGTATTGATATAAAATTACATCTATTGGCACTTTAATGACCACTGTTTCTAGTATGGAGAACATTTCTTGATACAATTTCAAACTGACAGAAAAAAAAGAATTTTTGATATAACAATTTGTAGTACCTTTTGCAACATCTCCTCGTTTTGTTGAGTCCAGAATTAAACGGATAAAAAACTAAAAGGGTAATGTGCTATAAAACAGAATGTGCTGTAGTAAAGCCTGGGAAAAGAAGTTCTGGAGGGGTTATAGCCTCGATGTCTCATATGTTTTATAACAAAAGAAGTTCAGAATAAATGATTCTGTAATAGCCTTGTAGACAGATTATTTCCAATTCCATTTTGGCAGGATTTCCAGTCTCTCATCAGAACAGGTGCAGATAGCTTTTGGAAAGAAAAAAAAAACCCCACAAACATTTATAGATGTCCTGATACAACACCGAGACTCATCTGCCAGAGGGAGAAAGGAGGGATGACTTACTACCATTAGCAGCAGAATTTTACTGCAGAACGCAAATACATTGTAAATTTCCCCCAAGTTTAATAAGGTTTAGAGAATTCTTATCCATGCCAGCCCTCGATTTAAGAAGACAGCTTCAGTCTTCAGTATCACAGAATTTGTGGTTCAATAATAAACTCACAACGTAGTAACATTCACAATTACAATGGTCTGGGAAAGTGAGGACAGAAATAAAAGAGAGGAGTGCCAAGACTCAAAACCTGGACAGGAAGAATGTGCAGAAAGAATTGGGCTGAGCTACAGTGTAATGACTGAAACAAACATTTATTTGCATGTCTAATGTAGAGATGAAAATTTCTCAGACTGAATTGTATGCAATCCCAAATTGTAATTAACCTTGAATTCTACACCCCTGTAAAACGAGAAACACAAAAGGTTACACGACAGTGGATCACAGTGATCAAAGAAATTCATGCCACATTGCAATTTGTTTCCTAGTAAAAGGTACGAACAATTTTCAACTACAAATACAGGTACATCACACCATGAAGTACGGGATTCCCAACCGCTACACTACTAGTTAGATGTAAAGTACCTACAGGAAACACACACAACAAATTAAAATGATGGAAGTTCTGGGAGAAATTGAAAAAATGAAAAGGAAAGTAAAACTTTATTATCAAAGCAGTTATAAAAAGTAGATAGAAGTCTTGATACCTACTAGGAATATAGATCCCAAGAAGGGAGAGGGATTATGGATGCTGAACAAGGCAAATTACTACTCAAGATAGCGGACAGCAACAGAAAAATGAAAAAAATACAGTTTTAAAAAGCCCACAAATGCTCAAGCTTATTGTTCACTACACACTGTTAACAGAAATGTATCTGTTCACATTTTCATAGCTATGTTTTTATTCACAGTGACTTGTTTTTGAAGGCTTCCCTTTGTTTACTCACTGTACTCCAGTCAGAGTGTAAATGCCAGCGGTGATTTCTCCCTCTACTCTTTCAGAATCCTGGAGTACCTGATGTGTAACCAGAGCAGCACTCACAGCTTCCGTAAGCGAAGATCAGTCAAAGCTCTCACAGGTCCATTTTACAAAGATTATGCAGAAGAATACACAGACCACACCGATACTATGTATGACAAAAACACCAAGTTCACGAATTTTCATGACAATCCCCATTACTACATTTTTTTGGAAGAGCACAGAGAAGGAAATCTTGGGTTTGGCCAAGAGCTCAAGAACCCTCAAATGGAAGAAGTCCAGACCTTTGACAGTCATTATGACTATCCTGTCTGCGGAGGGAATGAAGACGTAATATGCACTCCAGAGCCCGATGAGTTTAATCCCTGTGAGGATATAATGGGATATCAATTTCTCAGGATCGTGGTTTGGTTTGTGAACCTGCTGGCCATCCTAGGTAACATTTTTGTCCTTTTCATCCTTCTCACCAGCCATTATAAACTGAGCGTACCACGCTTTCTGATGTGTAACCTAGCCTTTGCTGATTTTTGCATGGGGTTATACCTCCTCCTGATTGCTTCAGTGGATCTCTACACCAGGTCAGAGTACTATAACCACGCTATTGAGTGGCAGACCGGGCCTGGTTGCAACACAGCTGGCTTTTTCACGGTCTTTGCTAGTGAACTTTCTGTATACACACTGACTGTGATCACCCTGGAGCGCTGGTACGCCATCACATTTGCCATGCGCCCAGATCGAAAGATTCGCCTCCGGCACGCCTTGGTTATCATGCTGGGAGGGTGGCTTTCCTGCTTTCTTCTTGCCCTTTTGCCACTGGTTGGTGTCAGCAGCTATAGCAAAGTCAGCATCTGCTTGCCTATGGACACTGAAACACCAGTGGCTGAAGCCTATGTTGTCTTCGTTCTAATATGTAACATTATTGCTTTTGTCATCATCTGTGCCTGCTACATAAAAATCTATGTAACTGTGCGAAACCCTCAGTACAAGTCAGGAGACAAGGACACCAAAATTGCCAAGCGGATGGCTGTGTTGATTTTCACAGACTTTCTGTGCATGGCTCCCATCTCTTTCCATGCTTTATCTGCCATTGTGAACAAACCATTGATAACTGTCACCAATTCCAAGATTTTGCTGGTACTCTTCTACCCACTCAATTCCTGTGCCAACCCCTTTCTTTATGCTATTTTCACCAAAGCTTTCCGAAGAGATGTGTTTATCCTGCTAAGCAAGTTTGGTCTATGTGAGCATCAAGCTCAAGTCTACAGAGGTCAGACGATCTCAGTCAAAAACAGCAGTGGCTCTTACGGGCAGAGAGCCAGCCGAGGGGTAGGTCAGATTCTTACAAGCATTCCAGACCCGGTCAATGATTACCCTCCCACCATGACAACGCAGAACCAGATTCTCATGGAAGAATGCAAGCAGACGGAGCTGTGACATCTCAGGGTGTCACAGCACAATCTGGTCAAGAGGTGGTGGTTAATGCAGCGGATCAAGTGAGAAGATAATATATTCTCCACATCCTTTTTCCCTAGCCTGTCCCTTGTGATGTCTGGCAGTACCTTCAGACTGGTCTTTTAGCCCAGTCATTCATTCAAACTGCTCGTCTCACACTCTTATCACTGTAGGTCAAAAGATACTGTTCTGATGATAATGCCAAAAGTAGACATGAACACTCTAAATAGGAGAATTGATATACATAAACTCAGCAAATATGAAATATATCCTGATCTAAAAAATTTAAAGGAGCAAGAGACAAAGCAAAAACCTTGGGGGTACTTGTGAAACTAAAAAGAGAACAAAGTTTTATAATTGAGATTTATTTATTTTTTTTAAAGCAGGGTTGCCAACTGCCTGTGTGTCAAAAGGTTTTCTATTAGCAAATTTCTAAAAATTCCATGAGGGCCTAAAATGTAAGAGATTCCTTCTGCTTCTGACATCTTGACCTAAAACACAGCTAGTCTTTTGTTTGCAGTTCTTAGGTGAGTTGTGAAAAGAAGCCTCTTCATACTGCCTTTAGAGCGGTACAAGTCACTGATTTTGCAGCTGTTCGTAAGATAACAAGTAAGAAACATTATGGACTTTGTGTGCTGCAAAAAATCCCTTACTATCACTCTCACTTTTTGATATACTTACTTAGGAGATTGTATAGTTTGAATTTGAAGACCAGTCTACCCAACCAAGTTAATGATGGTATTTTTTTGATGGCTGAGACTTAAGATTGTACTAAATTTTCTCCCAATTACCCATTCTTTCCCTGATTCCACTACTGCTACTGTTTAATCTGAGCATGTTTATTACTTTGAACACCCTTTAACTACTGCTTTCTCACCACTACTGCTATCCCTACTTACTCCTCTCTTACATGGCTAGAATTACTTTCCTTTTAGCACTTGCGAAATTGAGCTGCCTCAAACCTACACTTAGACAAAGGGAGTGGAACATGCCTGTGGGTTACTTTATGCCTTCCAGTTCCCAAATTGAAGGCTAATCGCCAGCTCCTACAATGTGTTTTAAGAACATCTCCATCTTGTAATGGGACCTGTTATCTGACCTGTGTAACATCTGCAGTACAACTACGTAAACCACACGGTGAGCTTCTGGTTGGCCACAGCCTGTCTGTAGCTTAGGCACATACGCTCCACGCTGTGCTCAAGGAAATCCAAGCTCAGAGAGAAGGAGCAATCCACAGTCTTTTGCTTCCAGTGAAGAACTGGAGCATTCTTCTGTCACACCTGCTGCTAGACGGAGCCACACCAAGATCAAGCTGGGCTGTGCTCAGTTCATCCCTACACCACAAGCAAATGAGCCGGGGCCTGGCTCTCTGCATCTCCCACAGACATTGGGACTCAGGGTAGGAGCTGCTCTGCGCCAGCTTTTTTGTTAACGCCTGCGTGGCCTGAGCGCCTGGTTTGGACAGCAGGATCAGACCAGTTCTCAGTCAGCTGTAGAGAGCAGCTCTATGGGACTGCTACCACGATTGCCACTGATGATTGCACCCTTCTCTTTGGAAGGCTTATCATGAGAACAGAGAAAACTGGGGGAATCTTTGCCTTCAGGTAGGTATTTTAAAGTTCTTTTTATAATATCTACGCTGTTTTTAACAGAATTACAGTCTTTGAGGAAATGCAATTAACAGACAACAGTCAGATCTTTTATAATGTGTGTTAGCAGTATCCAGAAAAAAATAACAGTAGAGCCCTTCAAACTGCTAGCTAATTCAGTTGGAAATTGCATGACCACAAAATGCCACGTATATACTCCAAACTCGATTTCATTCCATATTCCTGATTATAAATGAAGGCTGCTTCAGCGACCGGAAACAAGGGCTTAGATTCATCATCCCTCTGAGATGGTCTCAGAAAAAAAAATTTAGTCTGCCATTGTTAACACCATTAAAAATCTGCAACATTGTATTGTAGATTAATTTAGCTGATTATTTTGGGGAGAGACGTACTTCTATTTTTGGTTGATTCTCAGAATATTTTGAAACCTGAACTGCTGAAAACCATGCAAATAGTAACATACAACCTCCTCTTCTCTGATGTGGACTCACCCAGTGTTAATCAGAAACATAAAGGTGGCTTTCAGCAAAATTCTCTACTCTTGAAAAGGCTTCATTTGGAACTCTCTGGCTGTGTCTCAGAGTCCTATACAAAAGGTGTTATTGTTGAGATGCAACCCCCATCCCCAGGTTCTGTCATCCTTCTGATACTGGACTAAAAATTAATAAAGGGAGGAAGTTTCCTGAGTGCCTTTAGTATCTCATCAGCAGCTAAGACAATCAAGTTAACAAACTGTACCTTTATGCTACAGACTTCAGATACTAGTGTACCAGTGGAAAAGAAAATCCAAGCCTGAGTCATTCTTTTTCAGAAAGAAAGACCAAATCAATGTTTCTTTTGAGAATGCTTTTAAAAGTAACACAGATCATTGATTTCAACCTTGTTTTTACCTTAACCCAAACCAGAATAACTGTTCCACGGAAATTATTTTAGTGGTATGTTGGACTGATTGCAGTATGCTTTTGAATTAATACAGCTGTTTGCAGTTACTAATGGATGATGGATATTTTCACACATTATTGAACTTTTTTATTTCCCATTGTTGCATATATTTTTTATCTATTAAAAGAAACCTGTGATACTGCCTTTATGAGCAAAGACTGATATTTCTTGTTTATGTCTTGCATATTCTTTCTTGTGTTCAACTTGGTAAAAAGTATTTTCAAAGTTATAGGAAAGATCCAGGCAATAGACTTTAAATCATTTATTTGCCAGACTTTTTCTTGTAAATGTTTGTATCATCCATTTCTGCTCTGATCAGTCCCTTAAGCCATTTTCAGTTTTGCATATACCCTTATGTAACACTTGCTACTTGAAATCCATCTCAACAAGATGTATTTTTTCTGGCATTCGGTAGATATTTTCTCTAGAATACTTAAGAAATAATGCAGAGCATTGGAATAAAATGTTTTGTTTGAAATTGTAAGAGGCTCAGCAAGTTTTTTCTGAAGGTTTTAAAATATTTTTCCTATATAAAAAAAGTTGCACTCAACTGCATTTTTCTCCTGGGCTAACCTACAGCCAAAAAGATGCACCATGTGACACACTGTTTGACAGAGGTTCGGGGTTTTTCCCCACCATTAGCTGGGAAAGGGACATCCTAAACAGCCATCTCAGACAAAGGAACAGTAGTAGTACTCCTGAACTCTGGGGCTTCAAAACCATCATTAATTACATCCAAGTAATCAGAAAAATCACCTAAGAGCCACGAGGTCGTCTTCTAAAAACTAAATCTGGAATCTGACCTCTTCCATTCTCTTTTCTGAACGTGATGTGCACGTGACAGCCACAGTCAGGAAGGACTGGGTACTTCAGGAGAAAACACTCGCATAGTGAGAAATTTGTGCAGTGCAGAGACTCTGCTGCTGGAGTTCTCAGAATAACTAAACTAATCTGCCCATATGCAACATTACAGAATATCCCTCCCACTAGGTTTTCTCTCAGAGCAATTGTCCATTGTCCCATATTTGCCAAAATTTAGGCTACCATATTTTACATTCAGTAATTCTCACCAGTCTATGGGTGGGAAGTTATTATCTTTGCTATATGGATCCTTGCATTATATGGAAAGAAACACCTGAGGGACAAGTCCCACTGATGAAAACTGTTAAAGCGCTCAAGTATCACTCAACTCTTTACACATCTTCCGTATCCCAAAAACTCAGCTTCAGTATCTGTGCACCTTGCCACTGCCTGTAACTGTGCTTCGCTCCCACATGAAGCTTTAGGGTGCACGGAAAGCTTGGTCTCAGTTGTAGATGTAAACTGGCATGAGTCAGGACAATTAAGCTTATAGGCAAGAAGAAAATCCAACAGGCCAACAAGTGACAAGAAACAAATCGTTCTTTCTAGGAAGCCGACGTTGTTCAATATGTGCATAAGGGACCTGGAAAAAGGAGTGAACAGTAAGATGACAAAATTTGCCATAATATTAAGAAATTGAGAACAAAAAGAAAAACAGGGCTATGAAGAACTGTAGGAAGACTTCTCAAGAATGAATAACTGGCAAGAAGAATTCAGTGTAGATAAATATAAAGCAATATATGTAGAAAAAAAGACAAACGGACATCTTAAATGACGTGTTCCGAGTTGACGACCCCAATTCAGGAACAAGATCTTAAGAGTACATAGGAGTCCATTAAAAAAAAACCAAAACCCAACAGTTTATGCTTCCTGGACATCAAAAAAGCAATTCAATTTGTATTATTGCAAAAGGAACAGAACATAAAACAAGTAATCACTGTATCACTCTATAAATCTTGTACCTTGCATAATGTAGCTCTTTTCTCTGCAACAGAAAAACAATACAACAGATCAGAAAAGCTTTAGATAGCATAGGAAGGAGAACAAAAGGCTTGGAGTTACAGCTAAGGAACCTATAAGTAAAGTAAATAAAGTAGGGCCCCTTGGACTACAAGGGAGATGACAAAGTTTGATTAAGCAGCCAGAAGTAGCTGAATTACTGAACTTCTTGCTGAAGGCTGCTAAGGGTAATATAGTTTACACAGGTTTACGGAGAGACTGAGAATTCATTGAAGAGAAATCTGTGGAAAGATAATAAAGCCACAAAAACTGCCTCAGGATGCTTCTGGACTGCAAATACATGGCAGATGGGAAGGAGTGCTTGCAGAGTGGATCGTACGTGCTTGCGCATTCTTTTATGCTTCGCTCACCACCCACCCTCAGCAGCTATCACAGTCAGGATTCTGGCATAGACAGACTTTTGGTCTGTTCCACAGCAGCCACTTTTCTTGTGGTTCAAGCAGTTCCCCTACTCAGCGTGCAAAGACAGCTCCAGCTGCATCTTCCTTCTATAGGTCCGACCACAGAGCCCATGTAGATATAAAAAATGGAGCTGTGTGAAGAAAAGCA